GTTATTGGTTGTATTAAGAAATTTGAATTGTTGTTTATTCCTTTGAAAATACGGATTGTAGTTATAATTGACTCATGGATGTTATTGGAATAAAAATTTACTTCATTCTGAATAACAAAAATAATTGATTTATAAATAACACTTTTGTTAAAAATAATGGTTTTATATTCTAATGTATTACTCGATACAATCTTGTTCGTTAACAATCAAATGATGAATTGAAAAAGAGTCGTTTCTTATCGTTTGGTGATAAGTAGAATTATCTTTGAAATAATAGTATCGGTCTTTATTCTAATGGTTTAGAATAAAATACAGTTTGTTGGATATTTAGTATATTGTCAGAATGTCATTCGTTGTTATCAATTCCTCATTGAACATTTAATAAATAACTCGACTTCTTATGGATGATCCAATCCAAAGAATGTCAACAATACGAGAAATGGCATAGTGAGTAGAGAAAATGGAGGTTGTGAAGTATTGGAATAAGGTTTTTTAAATAATTCAAGTATAAATACCCCTAAAAATGAATTATAAAGAAAAGGAATAAAAGAATCACAAATCGGCATGTGTTTATTCGGAAAGTTCTTTAGAATTAAAAGGATGACCACTTCAATGATTACATTGTTTGGTCTTAATAGAGTTCACAACGTCATTGTTTTTTTTTTGATTCACTTGTTTTGTTAGTGTGGTTATTCCTGTAAAACATTATTGTGGTTGATGAGACAGTATTAGAACTAAACCCAATTTTAAAAAGTGAGCACAACAAAAAAGTGAAACCAAAATACTCAATAAGTATCATTTACAATAAAAAGAATATGAGAGTAGAAATTCAACATTAAAAACATTAACTAAAACAAATATTTTTTAAGAATAAAAAGAGATGAAATAATGGGTTAAATAAGTTATTGATAATTTTCAAAGACTCATTTTTATGATTAGTCAATTTTAATTATATTCAAAGAAACTCAAAACGTTATCAGATGAATTCTCAAGTGTTTAGTTTGAAAATTATTATTATGGGATTTAGTGGTGTTGGTAAATCGTCAGTGGCTCTAAATTACACGCATAATATCATTCTAACAGAGTTTAATCAAGCACATGGTGATGAATTTAAAAAGACCATTCAGATCAATGACCACACTATCTTATTAGAAATATATGATACGAGCGAAGATGAGTTCGTCGCATTGAGAAATCAATACATAAAACAGGGAGATGGATTTGTATTGATATATTCTATTACATCAAAAGAATCGTTTGAAGTACTCCAACAAATTTATGAAGACATTTACCAAGTTAGAAAGAAAGAATATAATGAACATATTCCAATAATAATTGTATGTAATAAAAATGATTTAGAAGATGACAGACAAGTAACAAAAGAAGAAGGTATAAATTATGCAGACAGTATCAACTGTCCTTTTATTGAATGCAATACAAAAACACGAGAAGACATTAACAGAATCTTTGAGGTATTAACAATAGATGTGCTTGAACATAAAGAATTTATAACAGAAGAAAATGAGGCACGCAAAAAACAAAAAGGGTGTTGCGCTGTTTAACCAAATGAAGTCCTTTTAATTTAGTTGTTAAGTTATACGTTACTCAATGTAGTATTTATTTAATACAAAATATAGTTTTTATTGAATAATACGTATGGGTAGTTGTGTTATATATCAGTTATTACAATTAGCTAAAACAGTTAATCCATTTAGTTATAAGTAAAGTTTGGTCAAGTTTCAATAATGAATGGCTTTCATCTATAGGAAGTAAACCATATTGTATTTACAACAAAAACAAATTGGTGTTGACAAACAAGATACAATACAACCAAGTTTAATATAATTCAATTCGTTTATTCACATCATTAGAATCAACAACTTAGATTAAATGTATAAATGAATTGTTTGTACCACCAAATTTTATTGAGTCAGAGAAAGACAGATTTATATAAACATATCAAAACGATAAAATGATAATAAAAAAGAAGTTAAAA